AGAGGAGGCTGCGCAAGCTGTTCACGAGCTAATTCCTTCCGCTAAGATGCTCAAAGTCCTTCGATTTCACAATAATATGACAGGAGATGAAGGTGCAATTGCTATCTCTAAGATTGTGAAACGTTCTCATGCTTTGGAGCATTTCCAGTGCTCTTCTACTAAGGGTAGGTTCAGAAGGGGGTGTCGCTCTGGCTGAAGCACTCAGAACGTGCACCAATTTGAAGAAACTTGATCTACGTGATAATATGTTTGGAGTAGAAGGTGGATTGGCTCTCAGTAAGGCCATATCTGTATTTGCAGACCTGACTGAGGTTTATCTCAGTTATCTGAATCTGGAAGATGAGGGGATAGAAGCACTTGCACATGCTCTCAAGGATTCTGCACCTTCACTTGAAGTTCTAGAAATGGCAGGGAATGACATTACTGCCAAGGGTGCTGCTTATTTATCACCCTGTATTTTGTCAAAACAATTTCTTTCGAAATTGAACTTGTCTGAAAATGAGCTGAAGGATGGAGGTGCTATTATAATTGGAAAGGCATTAAAGGAGGGCCGTGGCCAATTGACTGAAGTTGACTTGAGCACAAACCTAATCAGGAGGGCTGGGGCAAGGTTCTTGGCACGGGCTGTTGTTAACAAGTCTGGATTTAAGCTGCTAAACATCAACGGCAATTTCATTTCCGAGGAAGGGATTGATGAATTAAATGATATATTCAAGAACTCTCCTGATATGCTCGGGCCTTTGGACGAGAATGATCCTGAAGGAGAAGATATCGATGAGGAAGCTGAAGAGGAGAATGCGGAACATGATCATGAGCTGGAATCAAAACTTAAGGGCCTGAAAATCAAGCAAGAGGAATAATGTTTCACACATGTTCTCTGTGCCCTCAGAGGGTCGAGTGGGAACTTCCATATGTTGTTAATTTCTGTACCAAATTGTTGACCATAGGCATTTCTTCCTCCTCTGCCTCCGCCTTACCAAGTGTAGCACATTCATCCATTGTAGCGCAGAAAATTTACGAGATGTAGCTCTAATACTGCAGAAACAACTTGGTTTTAGATTTCCCAGGAAATCTATTTTTCTTTTGGACAGTCTTGTGTCTTGTTCTGTATTTTTTAGCTTTAATGATCTTGGAAGGTTGCAGCTTCCTCTTCTCTTTGTTTGTGCTCAGAAAAGTTCAATTCTCAGCTTCTAAAAGAGCTTCTTTTAGAGAACATTAGTCATAAAAGAGTAATGGTGGTTTTTGGTGAACTGTTCGCTATATTATTTTGATAAGATATTATTGAGATGCGATACAAAATATTTATATTTGATAACAATACACGTAAACTTATTATGAAAATACAAGACAGATTTTCTAGAAGCAATGTAGTGGCTTTCGGAAAGTGCACTTAATGACTCATTGCTGCTTTTTATGTATTTCACATATTCTCTCTTATGTGAATAAATAAATCCTGCTTTTTATGTACTCGCTCACGGTAAGTACAGATTCTCAAAACATTTACAGAGTTTCTCTCAATTTAAGCAGCTACTGTGACTTTTAGCGACTCAAGTATCTTCTCATCTGTCTCGAATTGCATGGCCTTCTTGTCTCGGCCAATCTTTACGTACTCGTCAAATCGCTCCTTCAAGTCCTCTGGAAGATTTGTACTACTCCGCCACCCCAAAATATCCTTGGCAGCTCTTGGCTCTGCATAAAAATGCTGCACGGTGCAGAGATAAAATGTTCAGAACTCCTTTTGAGTTCCCCAAACTGTGTGGATAGAATTTGTAATTCGAAATTGGGTTTCGTTCAATTTTCAATTTTATGCAAAAGAAGAAATGCGATTTACCATATTTCGGAAAGGAAAAGCTTTCTTTGCATCAATTCCAACAGCCTTTGGGTCATAATGCACAATCTCAACTGACAAGCCTGCAGCTCGAGCACAAAGTTTTGCCATCCCATCAAGCGTCACGGCACGGTCACTCACGCAGTTGAAGATATTGCCAGATGCTGCATCTGGATTTTGAACAGCCGAAGTGAGCATGGAGGACAAATCTCTCACATGGGAAATATTTGTGAGTTGCATTCCTGAGCCAGGGATTGGTACTGGTCTGTTCCGGACAATTCCTGTTGGAAGAATCAATTTCATTCATATCAAAGTTTTGACTGGCAATTCAAACGAATTAGTAGCACATATGAGATCTTACTATCAAAGAACCACTCTTCACAGTCTTTATTGTTGCCGGATCCGATCATGTACTGGGGCCGGAATACTGCCCAATTGCTGAAAATTTCTGCAATGTATTTCTCAACTCCGACATGACTAGCATCGGCTTTCACAACATCCTGTAATGCCAAATATCTTTTCAATTGATTCTATATCAATCTTAAAATGCTAATGTTCAGTTGAGTCATATATATATACATGTATGTATGTATATGTATACCCCTTCAACGTGAGGAGGTTCATCAGTCGGTTTGTAAATTCCAGCGCTGCTGATGTACAGGAATTGCTTCACGCCAGCACTTTTGGCCCAGTCTACTACAGGCCTATGTGTGAAATGCATTGCAGAGACATGAAATTGCAGAGCTGAAAGAATGAGTTTCAAAGAATTTGAAGAAACAAAACAAACCTCACAGTGTCCAGATCCTTGCCATTATTATCCAATACAACATCAAACCTTTCACCTTCCAATACCTTCCCAACTTCTGAAGGGTTTCCCCACACGGTCTTTCCTCCACCACTCACGATTTCCTTCAAGCAGTTGATAATCCAATTTTTAAGTCCACCCTTAAAATCAACATCCAAATTGAAAACACACAAGGATATACATACAATTTGCAGAAAGAGATATTCAAATCATACAGAGAATCTGTTGAATGGAGGTTTCTTCATCTTTTCCGAGCCTTCTTCCCCGACGGTCAGTACAGTAACCTCAAAGCCATTACTGAGAAGCTCTTTGGCAAAGGAGAATCCAATCACTGCATGGCCTCCGCTGTTGGTATTAATTATAAGAACCTTCTTGTTCTCTGCCGCACTGGCCTTGATTGTAAAGGAAGAAGCGGAAAACCGTTTGGAGCTTGTTGAGTACCTAAAGAAACGAGAACTGGAGAGAGACGAGGAAAGAGATGAGGAAGGAGAGAAGGAAGAGGTAGATAAGCGTGAAATAGGAAAAGAAGAAGACAGAGGGAGCTTGTTAGCTGGTGAGGAAAAGAGAAGAGAGGAAGATGAGGAAGCGAGAGTAGCCATTGATATCTGCAACTCTACTTCGTGGCTGATCGTTTTGAGAACCAGCAATTTCAAGGCTAAGTTCTGGATAAAGGCCTAATGGCCTGTTCTTTTTTAATATTCACCGACTGTCACAGTGTAATTTCCCGGGGGATTTTTAATTTTAAGAAAATATTAAATTTTGGGGATCGAGAGTGGGCCCCAAGCACGGCTTCAACCGGTTAATCTTCAGCCGTTGGATTCATTAGCGGTTTACGGTCACAAAGTCGTGGGCCCAATTATCTTCCAGGCTGATAAGATTTCCGAAACGTTATCATCAGCCGTTGGATTCCTCAAGTGGCCCACATAGAGAGATTGGAAAGTAGTTGGCCCAATCAGCTTTCAGACATCTTATATTAAATTCACATCGTATCAACGCTTCCTCCCCACAAACTAGCCGTTACAACTTGCCATCTCCCGCTCTCTCTGTTGTTCCCTCTGCTCTCTATTTCTCCATCTCTCAATCTTTCATTCTCATGGCGGCTTCTGTGCATATGCAATCAACTGTTCATGATAGCGAGGTACCCATCACCCAAATCCTTGACTTTTTTTAAGACGCTTTCTTGATGGTTATTGAACATTAATCAAAGCTGTATCTTCAAGCTATTACTGATTTTTGTCGTTCTCAATTTCGATTTGCAGAGATCTCCAAGCTTCATGGCTACTTCTCCTCTATTTTTTCCTGCTTCAGATCTGCGCTTTGGGAGTGCTCTCAATGGCCAGATCGAAACCCTTACTGAGGATATCAACAAGTCTATAACTGGCCAGTGTCTTCTCAATGTATATTGCATATCGACTTTGCCCTTTTCCCCTAATTTTTATTTCTCAATTAACAGAGGATTAACGGGTGTTTTGTGTTTTTGTTTTTTGGTGAAGAGTGTGGGAGAATCGGAGACGGGTCAATGGCTTAACGAAAATTCGGTGCTTTTACTAAGTGGGTTTGATTCAATTTCCCATACTCTATCTCAGTTGTCGAACAGTCTGGACACTGCTCTTCAGGTAGTTTCACGTTTCCTTACTTTTAGCAGAGTTCATTTAAAGAAAAAGGGAAAAAAAAGATTGTTAGAGTGCTTATATCTGTAGATTAGATTTTGTTTGGCAAACCACAAAAATAAAGGAGTCTAGTGTTTGCAGATATATGATTCGGTGAATCTTTTTAAGAATTTAAAGACCCTTCAATCAATTTAAAGACCTTTAAATTCTTATTTATGTTCTTGCTTAACAAAAGGTTAATGGGCTTTCTTTTGGGTGAAGAATTTGGGAGAATCGGAGAAGGGTAAAGTGCTGAATGAAGATTCGATGCATTTGCTAATAGAGTTTGATTACATTTCCGATAATCTGTATCAGCTTTCCTACAATTTAGACAATGCTCTCAAGGTAATTCAGGTTTCCTTCAATTTTAAACCTGGTTTGGTACAGTTCATTTAAACAAATAAGGATTAGAAAAATCATTGTAGTGCTTATTTCTCTAGATTGGATTTTGTTTTTGATTTATATTAATCTCTAGATTAGTCTTCTGGTATTGAGGAGATAGATTTTGGAGTCAACTCAACTCTGTTTGTTTGCTTTGTTTGACCAGGGAGCCAGAGATCTAGCTAAGCCGCCGCCCACATTGGCTCAACTACTTGTCAGGAATATGAGGAGATCTGAAGGTCTGAAGCAAAACGAAGAACACAAACAAGAGTCAAAGAAGGGTTTAAAGAGGAAATATGATCCAGATGTTTGCTCAAACAATCAATTAGATGATTCCCACCTTAAGAAAAAACAGCAAAGCTGAGAAGAGAAGAAAAAAAGAAACCCCAAAAATGTTGGTATTCTGCAGATTGCAACAGAGGCAATTTGCTTCGAGATGACTCTGATAAAGGGATTATACCTGAAGAAGAAGAAGAAGATGATCTGGTACTTAAACTTCTTTCCCTGAAATCAAACCTTATTTTGCTCTGATAGCCAACAATGCTCAATAATTTTGATCTGGGTATGATTGGTTTTGGACAGGTGAGGCTCCCATTTGGAAGCATTGCTTGCAGAGAAATCAAGGCTAGCGAATTATCGCAAATCTGGTTCGAGAAAATATATGCCTTCAGGAATTAGTAGATTACCATCGAGTAACTTCCCAAGATGTATTGCTTCCTATGAACAATTAATACTGAAGCTTTTTCCCAAACACCATTAGGCAACGATTTTTTGACTTGTGTTGATTAGAGCTTCAAGAAAGATAAGAAATAGAAGATCGATAAGGTTAGATGCAGAGGAATTTCGTAACACTTTCAATGTAATTGTATATGTCTTTTCTACCACACATGGTTGTAATAGTAAAATTTGATTCTTACACAATTCCAAGTTCTATAACTAATTTCAATGTTTATTCATCGTGAAAAATTTAACTGCCATGAAAAATTTAATACGTCATGATTTATGAAGAATAAACTCAACTTAATCATTATAACTCCGTCAATAGCACTAACAAGTTGAGCCATTGACATTGTTAAATCAATTATTATACGATACTCACTGCCAATCCATAATAAACCCGAAAAATAACAAACAACACATTTCTTTCTAAATCTTCTAACTATGTTTGTGATGATCATAGTGCCCTGGTTCTTTCTTTACTGGAGTAAAAACCAACCGTTCTAGTGAGAGGACTTACCAATCAGGGAAAGAGAACAATCACTGCAGGAAGAAAACATTAGGGGGGGAACTGAATCGCAGCATAAAAGTCAAGCTGATGATATTTCCAACTTAGCTTCGAAGAGAATATCAAAAGATGAACTATGAAGAATGTTCTTGTGCCTGCTCAGAAAGTGAGGAACCATCTCATCAGGAAGGAGGACCCAAGAGAGGGGGGGGGAAATTAAAAAAAAATAAATAAAAGAAAATTCCAAAAAAAATAAGAAATAACAAGTAAATTTTAAGTATAAACAAAGTACAGAAGCTTTTTGTTCCCGTTCCGGGATCAACAGTGGGCTCCAATCACGCCTTCAATCAATAATCATCGGCCGTTAGATTCGTCAGGTGTCCACTTGATCGCGTTGAACTTGAGAGTTGTGGGCCCAATCAACTTTCAACTATTATTAGATTTTAGAACGTTGGCGAAATCGGTGCCTCTATTTAAATTCACATCATAATGACTTCCCCCCATAAACTAGCCGTTACTTCTCTCTCTCTTTCTCTCTCATGGAGGCTTCAGTCGATACACCATCTCCAGTTCATGTTAACAAGGTATCCACGACCCAAATCGCTTTTTTTTTTTTAAAGAAAAAATGGTAATCGAATATTAATTAAAGGGTTTCTTTTGATTGCAGAGATCTCCAAACTTCATGGTTACTTCTCCTCTGTTCAGTCCTGCTTCAGATCGCCGTTTTTGGAGTGCTCTTAATGGCCGGGTCGAAACCCTTCTTCAAGATCGTAACAAGGATGTAAGCGGCCAAATTCCGCCCCAGGTATACTGCTTACTCAACTTTGCCCTTTCATACAGTCACTTTCTGCCCTAATTTTTTTTTTTTCCTTAAGTTAGTGACGGTTATTTTTTTATTTTGTGTTGTTTTTGTTTTTTTGTTTTTTTGGTGAAGGATGTGGGAGAATCGGGGACGGGTAAACGGCTGAAGGAAGATTCTATGCTTTTGCTGAGAGGATTTGATTCAATTTCACAAACTCTGTCTCAGCTGTCTAACAATCTGGACAATGCTCTTCAGGTGATTTCGAGTTTACGTAAAATCTGAAATCTGCTTGGCACAGTTCATTTAAACAAATTGCTAAGGAGATCTTGCCAAAACACAAGAGTACATGATACAAATATAAGATTTGGTGAATCTTTCTAGAAACTTAGGCTTCTGGTAATGAGGAGATCTTGGACTCAACTCTTTATTGTTTGCTCTGTTATTACCAGGGAGCTAGAAATCTAGCGAAGCCACCCACATTGACTGAAATATTTCTAAGCAATTTAAAGAATTCAGAGGAGGAAGGTAAACACGAAGATTTGAAGCAAAGCCAAGAAGAAAAACAAGAGTCACAGAAGAGTTTGAAGAGGAAGTATGACCCAGAAGATTGTTCAGATTGTCAAGTAGATGATTCGCATACACAAAAAGAGGAAAGCCCAAAAGAGAAGAAAATGATGAAGAGAGCCAAAAATGTTGGTTTCTCTCTATGCTTATTCTGTTTCTTGACCATGATAAACCCATCAAGTTTATACTAATTTCTCCCTGTTGTTTTAACTGTCTTCTACAGATTGCAATTTCCATGGCCACAAAGGCAGCTTCACTTGCAAGGGAACTGAAGTCGAAAAAGTCAGATTTATGCTTTATGCAGGAAAGGTGTAGTTTGCTTGAGGAAGAGAACAGGAGGCTTCGAGATGGATTTGGTAAAGGAATTAGACCAGAAGAAGATGATCTGGTACTTAAAATATCTTTCCCCCCCAAATCAAATATTCTTTTGTATCGAAAAGCAAAAAGGCTCAATAACTGTTCTGGGTATTATTGGTTTTGGACAGGTGAGGCTTCAGTTGGAGGCATTGCTTGCTGAGAAATCCAGATTAGCAAATGAGAATGCAAATCTGATTAGAGAAAATCAATACCTTCACCAATTAGTAGAGTACCACCGGCTAACTTCCCAAGATCTCTCTGATTCATATGAGCAAGTAATTCAAGGACTGTGCTTGGACTTCTCATCTCCACAACCAGATGATGGAGGATGTGATGGGGACTACGATAATGATGAAGCTTTACAGACACCCGAAGTAAAAAATTTTGACTTGTCTACTTCTCTTGATGAGAGCTTCAAGGAAGAAAAAGAACATTAGATGGATGCAGAGCCATGGCGACAATCACTGTTTGTTGTTCCAAAATGTAAATTTTGATGATGCCTTGAAGTGAACCCCTTGTAGGTTTGTTCTACCACATATTATGTAATAAATTTTAAGGCCATTGTGGGTAATAAAATTTGATTATTGCAGAATTTTATGACACTTGAAAGGTGATAAATTTTGATGCTTTCCCATTTCGTTAATAGTGTAAAGCTTTAGGTTACACGATCCCGGTTAGAAATGGAGTATTTAGTTGGTTCTCTTCTGGACCAGAAAAGAAACAGAGGAATGTGAGCTGCTAAACAATTAATACCCTTGTGCTTCTTGTGCATTGGATGCCAAATGCCACCATATGTATATATATATGTATTCAAATTTGGCAATTAGAAGAATGGTGTGTTTAAAATCATATTATGGAACCATTTTCTTTTTAAAAAAAACCAACAAAAAAGTCAAACATCAGACCTATCAATCACACCAACTGCGATCAAAATGGCATGTCATCTCAAATGCTAGCGAAGGAAGAATATCATCACTCTTTTTTGCGATCTTCGAGTTTCTTTCTCTCGGTAGAAGGCAAGTTGGTTTGAACACTAGTGCTCGGTGGAGTAATAGCATCTTTCATTTCTTGATTAGAAACATTTTTAGCAGTTTCTGCTGCTCTTGTCATCATATCTTTCGCTTTCTCCATAACTTGGGAATTTCTAGTCATTACTTCAGCATTTTCGGTTGCACTTGTCAAATGGGAAACCAGCATCACATCCTTTGCTTTCTCCAGAACTTCAGAAATAATGGTAGCATTTTTCTCATGCTGGAACAAAACAATGCAAAAGTCAAGACAAGCCAAAGCCAGATTTTTTAGCATAAATTAGTTTTTAGCAACTGAATGAAACACATGCAAATAGAAAATTAAACGACGACATTACTTGATATTGAACAAGGAAAGTGGATGCTAATTACCTCTTATGACAACCTAAATATTACCCTTCCGTGCTCATTATCTTATCATATAAGCATCTTACTTGATATCACTAATAATAACTCGAGAGCAATGATCCAAAAAAGAT